GTTCATTACCGTCGACATGAGCGTAACCCAGTGTGCAGGTGGAGGTTGCTGTTCGGATTTTGCACATCGTGTGGTCCTACAAGTCACGCAGCCTTCTTCCCATCATATCCCAGTATGTTCGATATGAATACACCACTGGCCCTCTTCAGGGCCACACGATGTGCAAAATCCGAACAGCAACCTCCACCTGCACACTGGGTTACGCTGATGTCGACGGTAATAAACGAAAATACAAGGGTTACTTCAAAAAGCTGTAACTTGGCGAAAAAATCGCAGTAACTTCTTTTTTTTTAAATTGAAGGGAAAAGTACACACTTTTTGATACTTCGAGCAGAATTAGCGAGGAAAAATTTCCTACGCCCGGGCCAAAGTTGGATATTTTTTAGGTAAAAACATATCCTTACATTTTAAAAGCTACAGCAGCGCAAATGCATTCGAGGAAAAATCTGGTGACTAGTTTTTGAAGCTGAAAGTGCACGCTTAAATTAAAAAAGAAACGATCTTGCTACGATGATTTTTAACGGAGATATCGTCGGTAATGTAGAAAACACAAGGTTTATTTCAATGAGCTGTGATTTGGCGAAAAAAAATCGTAGGAACTTCTTTTTTTTTAATTGAAGAGAAAAGTATACACTTTTTGATACTGTAGGCAGAACTGGCGAAAAAAAATTACTACACTCCGCACAGTGCGTCAAAGTGTGCAATTTCTTAGAGAAAAAACATGATCATGATTTTGAGAAAGTTCCGGGAAATGGGAAGAGTGAATGCAAATTCCAATAAGAGCTTCTTAAATCAGAGGCTTTGCCCTATAAAATGAAAAAAAAACTTTTCAATTCGACTAGTTTTCGCGAAGTTACGCTTATTTGAAATTCGCCAAATTTTGATGTAAATTTCTTGTTGCGTTAATTTTTTTGACCAGTGTATAATTATTATCGTACAATATTTACATTTATTCCATGGCCAATATTAACTTTACGTTGAACAATATCGGCCAATGCGTTTCTATGGTTATTTAAACGTTAGCCAATGTTTAGACGACGCATTGTGCTACTAGAGATCACACGCGCAATATCTCTATCCTTCAGTGTAGTCTTCAGCGCGCCCATAAAGACGCGCGGTCTGTCTACGTAAGTCTACGATCTCTACCCAGCGAGAAATGACTCGTCGATCGAATCGACATCGACACTGTCAACTTGACATCGAATTTGTTTTGATGAGTCATTTCTCACCGGGCATGGAAACAAACGTAACCCAAACAACACGTGTGTCTAACAGACATCTTAAAGATGTCTAGACACGCGTGCTGTACGAGGAGCTAGAATTGTTCCTAAGAAAAGTCCAATGGGCATCCGAGGCACCTTGCTCGGTCTGCTTCTAAATTAAGTATCGTACAGAGAATGGAAGAGAATTGTGTCGGCATTTCCTCGCCGGGTTCATTCCTGCCACACGGTGATCTTCTCGCGCACTTGAATTGACAATAATTAATATAATTACATTAATAAATAATAGTCTGGCACAACCATGGTCAGATATTTACTACCCAAGGAGAACAAAAAAGTCAAAATGATGTCAAAATGATGTCAAAATATAATCAAACTTTAGTTCGTCAAAATGATGTCAAGTTGCATAAATTTTTGATGCTTTCTTGATGTCAAAATTTTGACATTAGTTTGACCATTCGTAATATGATACCCAGATAGAACATAAAACTTATAATGACGTCATTATGACTATCACAATTTTATTTAACACATAAAAGTTATCTGGACATATCTAGAAAACTTTTAAATGTTAAATAAAATCATGATAATATCATAATGACGTCTTTATGAATTTTATGTTCTACCTCGAATAGAAACATGTAGATAGTAATATATAAACGTTATATTTGACTGCTTCTGATATATTTATTACAATCATTACATCAATCACAGACATTAGTATATCAGAATTTTATCACATTTAAAATTATGAAACGTCTGATATTGCGACACATAATTTCTACGTTGACTTTTATTATTAACGATAGATATAAGGTTAGATATAACTTGTGCAAAGTTTATAAGTCAATATTATACGCAATTTATATGTATACTGTAAACAGCATAGAATTTATGGTATCACCTCTTATTGTTCCACGCTGCACCAAAGATGGCAGGATGTTCTCATACAATGGAACGCCGGTGATGTGATTAAAAGCTTTTATTTATCGTTAATAAAATTCGTGAATAAAAGTCAACGTAGAAATTATGTGTCGCAATATCAGACGTTTCATAATTTTAAATGTGATAAAATTCTGATATACTAATGTTTGTGATAATGGTTGTGATTGATGTAATGATTGTAATAAATATGTCATAAGCAGTCAAATATAACTTTTATATATTACTATCTACATGTCTCTATTCCAGGTAGAACATAAAATTCATAAAGACGTCATTATGACATTATCATGATTTTATTCAACATTTAAAAGTTTTCTAGATATGTCCAGATAACTTTTATGTGATAAATAAAATTGTGATAGTCATAATGACGTCATTATGAGTTTTATGTTCTATCTGGGTTGGGATTATTGTTAGTCAAATCAAGACCTTTTTATGACTACTTTTTATATTAAACATTTTTATAATAATAAGCAGTTATACAGTCAAGAAACGTATCACATTTTCTAAATATTAAGAAACAAAATTTTTTTAAAGAAGTCAATATAAAATCATATTTAAGTCATCTGAAATTAAGATTTGTAATCATGACCAAAAAATGACGTAAATTTGGTCAATTTGATGTCAAATTGACATTATTTTGACTTTTCTGTTCTCCTTAGGTAGCTAAAGGAGCGTCGGCGTAGGAAACATGAGTGATCTCGTACGTGGAAATAATTCCACAATGACTCCGCCAGTTCCTCTATTAGTAAATGCACTTTGCGTCATACGGGCGAGCGGCGCGGGGGCCAAATGTTTCATAGAATTTTAAGAAAGTATAATGACTATTACTCTTTCACTTGCAGTGTAAAGTATGGACGCGCTTATCTGGCGAGGCTGACTTAATTTAAAACCACGATATCATGAATACGAAGTTCAGCTGATGCAACCAGGCGCGTGTGACTGGCATGCTCCAATTTAATGTAGTATCAACAAACATTAGTAGACAAAATTGTCGCGGATGTTGACTGTCTGTTTTTCTTCCTATTGCACTCATTTCCTCTAATCAAGCAATATCATTCTATTGACATTTCGTTGAGATTAATTCAACCGTGTTTTCTTGTGCATGTTTATAATACTTTGATTTCGATCGAAAACAAAATGCATTCAGCTTGCTAATGGACTGACGCAAAGCTGCTTTATGTTTCCACGAAAGCTATCTATTTTTTCCCCCGTTCCGTGGGTAAATATTTACCCTTTCTTAGCACCCGCCAATCGACTTCCGTTTGACCTTGATGTTGACCTTGACCCCCAAGGTCAAGGTCATTGCCCATTCCCGTCGCTCATTGTTTGTTAAAAAGTTATGAAAATAAGTTTGGTTTATGTGTAAGTTGCAAGTGCGTTTAGCACGGCGCGCTGCGCGCGACCCACCCCCTCCCGCCCCTGCCCCCGCCCCACCCCCTTCCCCTC